ATTTCAGAGAGAAAGGGAGAAGGAAAAAGAGAACGAAACATCAACGATGAGAGACCACCTCCTGCATGCCCCACACCAGGGATCGAGCCCGCAATGAGGCAGGTGCCCCCACCGGAATCAAACCGTGGCCTTCTGGTTCAGAGGTCAATGCTCAACCACTGAGCCACGCTGGCCAAGCGACATATTTCCTATTAAAAATCACAATATCACACCTATGCACATGTTAGTTTCATGCCGAGGGGGAATTAAGGTTGCCGAGGGAATTAAGGTTGCTAAGGAGCCGACTTTAAAATAGATTACCCAGCCCTGGCCAGGTGCTCAATTGGTTGGAGGGTCACCCTGGACACCAAAAGGTTGTGGGGTTGGGCGGGCACAAGAGGCACACAATTGATGCCTCTCTCACATTGGTGTTTCTTTCTCTCTCTCTCTCTCTCTCTCTCCCTCTCCCCTTTCCTCTCTCTCTAAAATCAATAAACATATATCCTCAAGTGAGGATAAAAAAATAGGTCATCCATGTGGGCCTAAGGTAGTGATCCCAGGAGCCCTTCAAAGTGAAAGAGGGAAACGGAGAGAGGGATGTAACCGCAGAAGCAAGATGAATCGATGCAGTATGACAAGAACTGCACCACTGTTGCTGGCTTTGAACACAGAGGAAGGGGGCCGTGAGCCAGGGGACGCAGGCCATCGCTAGACTCTAGAGCAGCCGTGGGCAAACTACGGCCCGCGGGCCGGATTGAAATGAATAAAACTATTGGAAAAAAAGACCGTACCCTTTTATGGAATGATGTTTACTTTGAATTTATATTAGTTCACACAAACACTCCATCCATGCTTTTGTTCCGGCCCTCCGGTCCAGTTTAAGAACCCATTGTGGCCCTCGAGTCAAAAAGTTTGCCCACCCCTGGGCTAGAGTCTACTCTAGGCCAGTGATGGCGAACCTTTTGAGCTCGGCGTGTCAGCATTTTGAAAAACCCTAACTTAACTCTGGGGCCGTGTCACATATAGAAATTTTTTGATCTTTGCAACCGTAGTAAAACAAAGACTTATATTTTCAATATTTATTTTATATATTTAAATGCCATTTGACAAAGAAAAATCAACCAAAAAAATGAGTTCGCGTGTCACCTCTGACACGCGTGTCCTAGGTTCGCCATCACTGCTCTAAAGGCTGGAAAAGGCAAAGAAACAGTTCTCCCCTTCAGCCTCCAGAAGGAACGCAGCCCTGCTGACACCTGGATTTAGCCCAGGAAGACATGTCAGACTTCTGACCCACAGAGCAGGAGTTTTGTTTTTGTAAAACCACTAAACAAGTGGAAATTTGTTATAACAGCAAATAGAAAATAGTTACCATGAGCAAATTTAAAACCACATCCATCTTGCCCTGGCCAGTGTGGGTAAGTGGTTAGAGCATCTGCCCACGCACTGAAGGGTCTCAGGTTCATTTCCAGTCAAGGGCATGTACCTGGGTTGCAGGTTTGATCCCTGATCCCAGTCAGGGCAAGTATGGAAGGCAACCAATCGGATGTGTCTCTCTCACATCAATGTTTTTCTCTCTTCCTCCCTCCCTCCCTCCCTCCCTCCCTCCCTCCTACCAGTAATCAATGGGGGAAAAAAAATATCCTCAAGTGAGGATTAACAAACAAAAATATTTTAAAACCACACCCACCTCCGCACGGTGGTCTGCGTGTGGCTGGCACGGGGCCTTTGGCTGGTAGAGATGTGGTTCAGAGTCCAGCCCAGAGCCCCGGGGCACATTTTATCTGTCAAATGAGCCCTATGCCCTCGAACACCAGGGTGAGGGGCGGTGCTGTGCTTAAAGCACTTGCCCCATGTTAAGAGCTCAATAAATGGTGGCCATTGGCTTTCATTTTATGCATTTTGCCCGCCCTTTCCTATGACCCTATGGAGTACTGACTTCTCCTCTACAGACGGGAAAGGCAAAGTTCAAGGACATCAGATGATTTCCTTACGATTATAAAAGATACGGAGGTAACCCGGGTCCGTGACTCCCAAGGAAGCCTTGGTTCTTTTCCTACGTTCTTTTCCGACGGCTGTGAACGTCACAATAAAGGGTTTTCTTCTCTCCTTTACTTAAAACGTTTAATTAAAACATTACATTTTTAAAGAACATGGTAACCCTCTAATCTGTTCCCAGCTGTAGCAGGCAACCACAGCTTTAGCTGCAACTAACTTTAAATAGAACTCAACGTGATTAAGATCATTAAAAAAGACATTGGTAGAGGAAAATAAAAACAGAGAGAGGTTGATGGGCAGAATCAGGGTTGTGGGTGTTTGTCCCAATCTCATGGAACCCCCAGAAAAGTCTACTGGCTTCTGGAACAAGGCAGGCACCAATACCGCCCAAACAAAGACCCAGCACAAATCCGCCAACGATGCCTTTAAGGGCCTGCCGGGTGCTAACGGCTCATATACATTGCTGTTGCTCACGGACTCCTCACTGGAAGCTCTTAAGAGCTGTACATTATCACCTCATTGTACAGAGGAAGTCCTGGAGGCTCAAAAAAACAATCATCTGGTAATTTGTCCAAGATAACGATCTATGCTCGTTAATGGAGAACCCTGTTTTTGGAATCCAGACAGCACCACTCTAAAGGGAGTTTCCACTCTATTGCTTGGCCAGGAGAAATATCTGTGTTTTAAAAAAGACAAAGAATATATAAAGAACCTGTACAATTCAATAACAAGATAAAGAAACCAATTAGGAAGTGGACAAACGACCTGATCAACATTTCTCCAAAGCTATACAAGCGGCCAGTAAGCCCACAAAAAGATGCTCAGCATCATCCGTCATTAGGGAAATGCAAATCAAAACAATGACAGCCTTGGCCAGTGTAGCACAGCGGTTAGATCCTTGGCCCTCGGACGATTCCAATCCCCAGTCAAGGGCACATACCTCCCTTGCAGATTTGATCCCCGGCCCCAGGTCCCAGTCGGGTGTGAGCAGGAGGCAGCCAGTCGGTGTGTCTCATTTATATCAATGTTTCTCTTTCTCTGTCTCTCCCCCTCCCTTCCACTCTCTCTAAAAATCAACGGAGCCCTGCCCACGTGGCTCAGTGGCTGAACATCGACCTATAAACCAGGAGGTCACGGCTCGATTCCCGGTCAGAGCACATGCCCAGGTTGTGGGCTCGATCCCCAGTGTAGAGCGTGCAGAAGGCAATCAATGATTCTCTCTCATCATTGATGTTTCTATCTCTCTCTCCCTCTCCCTTCTCTGAAATCAATAAAAATATATTTTAAAAAATAAAAAGTAATGAAAAGAGTATCCTCAGGTGAGGATTTTAGAACATAATAACCCACCAGGACACCACCTCACACTATGATGGCTATAATAAAAAGGACAGGCAATAATAATGTGTTGAGGATGTGGAGAAACAGGAACCCTCATATTGCTGGCAGAAATGTAAAATGGCGCAGTCACTTTGTGAAAATAGTTTGGCAGTTTCTCAAACAGTGAAACAGAGAATTCCATATGACCCAGCAATTCCACTCTGGGGCATCTACTCAAGAGAAACTAAAACGTATGTCCACACCAAGACTCGTTCACAAATGTTTGCCGCAGCCTTGGTGGGGACACAGCTTCAAAGTGTGAGCAACCCAAAGGTCCAACAACTGATGTATGAACGAATCAATCAGATGTGGCGTATCCATACGATGGAATATTGTTCAGCAACACAGAAGGAATGACGTAGGGATAAATGCTACCACGTAGATGAGTCTCAAAAACGTGATGCTAAAGGAAAGAATCCAGACACAAAGACCACATGTTGCATGATTCCACTTACATGCAAAGTCCAAAGCAGACAAATCGGTAGAGAGAGAAAGCAGATCAGCGGCTGCCTGGGGTGGGAAGGGGGAGACGGGGACGAGCTGGGACTGCTGAGGGGCACAAGGCTGCCTTCTGAGGTGAGGCAATGCTCTAAAACTAGAGTGGCTGTACTGTAAATATATTAAATATTTTTAACTGCACACTTAAACCGTGAATTTTATGGTGTGCAAGTTATATCTCAATAACACTTTTTTTTTAAAGTCAAGAAACATTTTCAAGACTGGCTGGTGTAAGAGAGCAAAATCACTCAGTCCCCGTGGCTTGCAGTGAGGATTTAAAACATATCGTATGAGCCTCTGTGGCACGTTTAGTTTTGTTAAGCTAAATAATAATAATAATAATATTGCTTCCCAAACCAGGGTGGGGGCACAGGCCTCACTTAACGGAGAGTGTCCACAGTTCCGAGCAAAACGCTGCCCACCTGCAGTTTCAGTCCCGCTGTCCGCTCCCCCCTCCCCCCAACCCACCCCCCCATCCCCACCAAAACCCTCGACAGGCGCCCCTTCCGTAACAGTGCACCCCGCCACCTGGGGTGGGAACGGGGGTGCGAGTCCCACCACTCCTCACCCTGCAGCCCGGGGCCTGGAACCCCCGAACCCTGCCTCTCCCGGCCCCGCGCGGCCAGCCCACAGCCCCGACGCCGACCCCCGGCGCCTAATCGCTGCGCGCCCCGCCTCCTCCAGGACCCGCGGGGCGCAGGGCGGGCGCTCCTCCCGCCACCAATCCCGGGGCGGCGGCCGGGGCGGCGGGAAGAGCCGGTCCTCGAGGCGCGGGGCGGTGCTCCGGGAGGGTAACCGCAGGAGCCCCAGCGCTGGAGCGAGCGACCCCCCCATACACACCCCCCAAAATAACGTTCCCGGGGGGCGAGGAGGGAGCGGACCGGCTCGCCTGGCTCCCTGGGGAGCGGCGGGGCTGCTTTCGGGGCGACGGAAGCACGTGGCGCACCCGGAGCGCATTTGAAGGCAGCGCCCGGCGGAGCCCCGCTGGGCGCAGACGTGGGGGCGCTCCAAGCCCGGAGCGCGGCCGGCCCGCACGTGCAGCGGCGGCCACTTCCTCCCGAACGCGCACCCCCGGACCCGCCCCCGCAGAAGCTCCGACCCCGGCGCCCCCGGATCTGGGCGGGAGGCGGCGGGCTGGGTGGCGCCACCGCGGAGGGGAGGGGCGCGGAGGGGGCGGGCGGCCCACCGTCGGTCCGCCGTCCGCCGCGGCGCCGGGACGCTCCCGCCACCTCCGCTCGGTGCCCCCTCGTCCCCGGGAGTGTGGGCTTCCGTGGGCCGGACCTCGCCCCTCCGGCGGAAAACGCAGGGGGAGCCCCGGCGCCCGCGCCTCCGGACAGCCGCGGGGTCCCCGGGCCGAGACGGCGCTGAAGACGAGCCCGGGCGGAGCCCCGTGCGTCGTGCCTGTCGCCGTCCGTGTCCGGAGCCGCGGCCCGCGCCCGCCCGCTCGGCGCCCCGGGCCGGAGGGCCCCACCCTGCCGGGCGTGGGCGGCCGCGGGCCGGGAGCGCGCGGAGCAGCCGTCGCAGGGCCTCCCGCGGCTCCGGCCTCCGCCCCGGGGAATGCGGTGGCCCCCGGCGCCTGCAGCCTCCCCGTGTCTGCGCTCGGCCTGCTCGCTCACCTGCTCCGCGGCCACGACGCTCCTGCGCCGCGCCGGCCAGGCCCCCCTCATGGCGGCCAAGTGGTTCAAGGAGTTCCCCCTGAACCTGAAGACCGTGTCCGAGCGGGCCAAGCCCGGCGGCGGCGGCGGCAAGCCCCGCAAGAACTCCGAGGCGGGCGGCGCGGCCCCCACGGCCGGCAAGGGCCGCAAGAACTCGGTGGCCGAGCCGGGGGGCGGCAGGGCCGGCCTGGCTCCCCCCAAGGACAGCCGGCTGTCCCGCGAGAGCCTGCAGGGGCTGATCCAGGCCGCCGCGGGCAAGAGCCGCAAGAACTCCCGGACCGCCGACGAGGAGCCGCACCGGGGCGCCGCCAGGAGCTCGGGCTGCAGCACCTACATCAACAGGCTCATCAAGGTGGACACTCAGGAGAAGAATGGGAAGGGCAGCTACCCCGGCGGCAGCAGCAGCAGCAGCAGCAGCTCCAGCAGCTCTTCCTCCGCGTCCTCATCCCCGTCCTCCCTGGGCCCCGAGCTGGACAAGGGCAAGTCTATTAAGCAGCAAGACACGGTAGGAGTCCAGTCCCCACCTCTCCCCGTGGGAGAGGACAGCGGCCCCGCGAACCCCCAGATAGAGTTCCTTCTGTGTCAGAGACGGGAAGGGTGTGTTTCCCCCTCTAGCATTTGGTGACTTCTAGCTGACCGTGCTAAACCATTCGTTTTTTCATCTTGGAAAAAAATCCTCGTTCTAGGGATGGGGAGCTTTGCAGAAATGTGCCCTGCGCTTAGTTCTGTTCGCAGCGTAGATGAGGAATGGAATGAAACGCTCCTGCTTTGTTCAGTTTGGCCCCCTTATCGGTGGTGGTCTGTTTTAATTTTGGAATCCAGGGAGGGTGCAGAGCTAGACTGTGTCTAGCGGTAATTCCTCTGGAGCTTAAGGAATGGTGACCTCCAAACTTGTAAGCATGGTTTTCAAAGGTCCAGCGAGGGGTTGGCCAGCCCAGCCCACCTCCCAGATTGGAAGCCCCACCTCAGAAAGGGTTTCTCCAAGCTTACCAGCTCCCCAAGCTTACAGCCCTTTCATTCAGCCCATGACCATTGGCTGTGCAGCAGCCAGAGCGGAGAGGGGGCACAGGGCTCTGCAGGGGGTAGGGAATGGACAAAGAACACTCTCCAGGAAATGACAGATTCGGGGAACTAGTAAAGAGGCTCGCTCCGTTTTTACAGAGATGAGTTGGGTGTTTTAAATTCACTCGTCTGTGTGAAGTGGGGGGAGAGAAGCGCTCACAGGGCCTTTCGGACTCCAGCCCGGATGATCGCTTTCTGCCCTGGGAACTTAAATTTTCTCTGGCCCCGGCTTCAAACATGCTGCCCACCTGAATGGAGTCCGGAGCCCGAGGAGCAGACCACGCATGTCTGCCTTGGGTCCTTCCATCCATTCCTCCATTCATTCTTTGCACAAGTATGTGCAGCATGCCTACCTTGCGCCAGGCACCGGGCACTGCCAAGGCCCCAGCTGGTCGGAATAGGAGTGGTCTACCTGACTGACTAGATCGGATGCACCTTGCAGCCCTGGGCTGCATGTCGCACTTCCTGGTCCTCGCTGTGCTTCGGGGATGTAGTTCACATGGTGGGCAGTCAGAAGAATACAGTCAGGGAGGGAGGCGTGGTTAGTCCGCGTCCCCAGCAGCGGTTGCCTGGGTCTTTTCGTGGTCATCACTTCTAGATGTCGGAGTTTCTTAGGCCGTCCCCTCCCAAGTGGAGGGCTCCTACGCAGGCGTCCTCTCTTCCTCGCTTCTCGCTGTGTATCTGTCTCCGCTCTTCCCGCCAGCCCCGTGATCCTTCTCCGTGAACTCTTTGGAGAATGTAATCAAAGATGGTGGAGCAGGCTTCTTCCCAGGGAAGGGGCTTCTTGACCTCCCACATTGTCTGTCACACAGCTGCTGCCGAGCGGAACTGTTGCACACACACCACCTTTGCAAGCCCCTTTGTATTTTCAGAAGAATAGGTGCTTTCTGACACACACACTGATCAAAACTCTATCTGATTGTAGCCTCGGAGAACAAGTCTGCCTGTGAATTATTGAACCTAGAACGCCCACAATGGTGTTTAGTTCTGACCTATTTCTTATTATAAAGCCTGTCCCTTTAGAGCTGTTACAAATTCCTTGAAAGACAAGAAGCAGGTCTTGGTCTTACTTTGATTCCCTAGCCAGTGCTCGCGGACATGCAGCAGTGCCTGGGTGATTGACTGACTTACCATGATTTGCTCATTTTGCTGGCGTTAAAAAGACCAGATCATGGGGAAGGTGGTAGACCAGCATGTTTTTATGCTCTGTAGACCCCACCCCTGCCACCCTTTAGCCCAGCAAATAAATGCTCTATTGCTTAGGGAAAGAAAAGGACGTGAAAAGAGTCGTGGGGATCAGCGGAGTTTAGGTGCATTGCTGACAACCAGTTATACTACAAAAACATCAGATGTGTGTGCAGCTCGGTGGATAACACGATCAAGTGCAAAAGCTACCCAGAACTAGAGATTTTGATGTCTTTTCAGATCAGCAGATTGTCAGTAGACACTTTGCTGCCACTGCCATTCTGGCATACGATAATCCTTAGCAGCTCTCCTCTCTGCTTCTTTTACAGGTCATCATTTTAGAAGACTATGCTGACCCGTATGATGCCAAGCGGACAAAAGGTCAGCGGGATGCGGAGAGAGTAGGCGAGAACGACGGCTACATGGAACCCTATGACGCACAGCAGATGATAACAGGTTCGTGACCGGGAGCTGCTCCGTGGGCAGACCTCGCACACTCGCTTGGAGTGTGTAAAACAGTAACCACTCTCTGTTTAGGGGAGAGGAATGAAGCCGTTTAACCAGGTCATGCTGAGTGGAAGGTACAGAAATTAGACTCAAAACTAAAGTCAAGCCCTGGCCGGTGTGGCTCAGTTGTCGGTGTCGGTCCGTGCGCCAAAGGGTTCGATTCCCGGTCAAGGCACGTACCTGGACGGTGGCTTTGCTCCTGCCCCCAGATGGGGCTGCCTGCAGGAGGCAGCCAGTCGATGTTCCCCTCTCACATCCACGCTTCTCTCTCTTCCCCTCCCCCACTCTCTCAGAAAAAGCAATGGGAAAAATACCCTCAGATGAGGTTTACCAACAACAAAAACACGAAAGTCAAATATCTAGTTAACTTCCTGTATAGTTTGCATCCTTCCGTTTTAGAATTTAAGGGGTCTTTAAAGTTTTCCTAATCCTGTGTAAAATGACACTCTTTCATAGTGAGTTTGCAGATCTGCTCAGATGTGATCTTCAGTGTTAAGACTGACCACTTTCAGAGCTCTAACATCTATCTTGGGAGTCATAAATCTGCACCAAGAGACGAATGCATCCTTAAAGGATTTTAAGTTGTCAAAAGGTACAAAGTGACGGTGTCCTCTGTATTACAGAACATTGGTTTCTCCACAAGCTCTACAACATTGGGGCAAAATGCTTAATAACTAAGGACTGATTCCCAGTCACTGGCATGAGCCACGCCACTCAAGGCAAACCCCCTAAAACCAGTTGACAACCTTGTAACTTCTCAACTTGGAACCATTCCAACTTATGAGCTGAGCAGCCCAATCCCCCTGTCACTTTTGGTATCAAACTTTTCCCTTTTATTCACAAATCCCTTAAACTGGTGTAAACAGTACTTTAAAAAGATAGTTTTATTTGTGAACTTTAGAGTAAGTTATTTACTCGCCTAATTTCCCTTCCACACGCTGTCATCCATCATGAGAAATGAAGTTTCCAAGTGCGGACTCCAAGGAGCCTGGTTTGCGTGTCGTGCGTTTGGTGCCTGAATAGTTGGTCACACAGGAGACAGTCTCTTCTGTGAAAAAGCAGATTGAGAAGCTGTCCAACTCGGGCTCCACAAGCAAAGCCTGGGAGGAGCTGAGCAGAGGGTAACGAACGCATCTGGGGGCAGAAGTGGGGGTGCTCTAAGCTCCCCCTGGAAGGGTCAAGACAGGCTCCCAATGCAAACGAGCTGCCACAGGAAGGCACTGCTGTTTCCTGCGCTCTGCTTGCAGAGATAAGGCCGGGGCTGGGGAGGGTGTACCCCGGCCAGGCTGTGACCCTGAAGGTCACTGGACTGTGACCTCTCATGAAATCTGTGAATGAAAGGAAGTGAAAACGAAGTTAGTCAGAGTTTCAAAAAATATCGGAGGCTTGGAAGAAATAGGGGGAAAGATTTACTTTCACATAAAATTGAGGGAAAAGATAGTCTAAGAAAAAAATGTTTCCTTTTTACTCACCTTCCTTTGTCTTTTGGGTTTTACCCCTTTCTCTTGGACTGGAATAAGCAGTTTGTCTAGTCTAGCCCCGCTGTGTATTCGTGGGGCCACACTGATCAGAGGGAAAGTGCTGTGCTTTTTTAAAATGAGCATATCTTTTGTTCTCCATATAATCCCCACAAAACTCCAGTACCATCCCCCTGATGCAGGATCAAGGAGATTCTGACTTGCCCAAGCTCCCAAGACTTTGTAAGTGACAGAGCAGAAATCAGAACTCAGATCTCCCCACTCCAGATGGGGTCGTCTGCTTCCTATACCAGGTTGCCCCAAGAAATATGAAGTGCTGCATGCAAAAGCACTTGAACCTTATTCGTCAGTAAGGCATCTTTCCATTCACTCACAGAGAGGGTTATAGTGAAAAGTCAGAGTCGTCCAACATGAATAAATGTAATAATCATAATAGCTAGCATTAAATATGTAAGCATTTGTGCATTCCAGGCTCGTGTGTTAAGTCGTTTATGTGAATGAATTCATTTAGGAATGGGAAATTAATATATTCAGTTGGAGACTAAATTCAAGTCTATCAAAAATTTAAATTACTTTTAAAAATTATTCGACCTTTTCTGTGCTTTTTCAAAAATATATATTGATGAATTTTAAAGTTTCTTCGCTTAAAATATATATCAAAAAGCACTTTCTCAGTCAATGTAGAGAGTATACCTCTTCTTCTACCCGTAGGTTACACAGCTGGGCAGAATAACAGGAAGTGAGTTTATCGGAAGCTAGGAATAAAAGATTTGCTGCCTGGTGTTTTTTTTAAAAAAAAAAACAACCTTTTACCTTTTTTGTTCAGTTTGTTCCTTGTGTGATTTGTTGTCAAGTCCAAGTTCAGAAATGTCCCATATTTCTTGGGGAACGTTAGGGATTTCTTTTTAGTTTGTTTCCGCATTTTGGTAGCAGAAGGAGATAATACTAATGAATGGTTTCACTGCGGAGCACCCAGCCTCTGACCTGCCTTTTTAATGACTGTGAAGTGGAAACAACATGTCTGATTTTAACAGTGTCTTGGGTGTATAGAACACTGCTCCTGATGTTATAACAGCCAACCAATATTTCTTTACCGTGTGCCAGGCCCCGTGCTGGGATCTGGGCATACAGGGAACAAGACCCACGGACCCTTGTCCTTGCGGACCTCACAGCCCCAGGGGCTGACAGACCTAACACCAATGCAGAAGAAAATATGTCATTGAAAAGTACGGTGAGTGCCAGGAGGCGGAGAATTAGAATCATCATCTGCCTCAGGGAACAGAGGAAGAAACAAATTAAGAGGCATTTAGTACTTTTCCTGAGGCCAAATCCCTGGGACCCAGGCTCCCTGGACCCCTGCCAAGACTTTGCTCTTAACTTTTAAAGGCTAAGGCTGTATCAATCTATGAATAAATTCTTGCTTATATTTATTCAGAGGATTGCTCATAAAAAGATATGCCTATGAATACGAGGCAATAATAGTACAAACTTCTTCATTGTGCTGCTAAATTAGCAGAATCATTGCAGCTAAATATTTAGGGGAAATGTTCTATATCGTTTAGCATTATGGGATTTAGCCACCAAATTAAAACTTCAGCATTAAAAGGGTCTTTACAAGCTCCCTAGGACAGCTATCATTCAGTGTCAAAAGTCCTTCCACAGCCCTGGCCGGTTGCACAGTGGTAAGAGCGTCAGCTGTGGACCTAAGGGTCGCGGGTTCTATTCCTGGTCAAGGGTATGTATTTTGGTAGCAGGCTTGATCCTGCCCCATGGAAACCCATGTGGGAGGCAACCAATCGATGTATCTCTCTCTCTCTCTCCCTCTCTCTCTCTCTCTCTCTCTCTCTCTCTCTCTCTCTCTCTCTCTCTCTTTCTCTCCCCCCGCCTCCTCACTCCCCGCCACTCTCTTTAAAAAAAAAAATCAATGGAAAAACTATCCTCAGGTGAGGATTTAAAAAAACATTCTTGCCCTAACCGGTTTGGCTCAGTGGATAGAGCATCAGCCTGTGGACTCAAGGGTCCCAGGTTCGATTCCGGTCAAGGGCATGTACCTTGGTTGCGGGCACATCCCCAGTAGGAGATGTGCAGGAGGCAGCTGATCGATGTTTCTCTCTCATCGATGTTTCTAACTCTCTATCCCTCTCCCTTCCTCTCTGTAAAAAATAAAAATAAAGAAATAAAAACACATTCCTTCTGCAGCTGGTATCACACAAGTTGCGTGCTTGCCAGGTGCCAAGCTTGCTACATTGCCTCACTAAATCCTACAACCCTGAGAAGTGGGTGTTAGAAGTCTCTGTGTTACAGCTGAGGAAACCAAGGTTCAGAAAGATTCGATAACTTGTCCAAATTATGCAGCGTCAGAGTGGAGTCACCGGGTCCCTTAGCAACCATTGGTTTTCGTTACGGAGCTGCAGTCGCAGGTGGTTTAAAATGTGTATTTTTTGCCTCCAGATGGTTTTGTTGGTTTGTTTAAATAGTGAAACCTAAAGGAGAATCTCATTGTTCAGGTCTCCATTTAAAAATTTAACCATAGTTAAAAATGAAAAACAGAAGACTATGTTTTATTTATATAATTTGTCTCTACTTTCCTTGTTAAACTTAAATTTCAGGGCTTCTGAGTTACATCTGCTTTTGTTCAGAAAATGTTAAAGTAATTTTAAATCAAAAGCTCGAGCACTGATAAAAGATGTAAGTACAAACGTTACCTGCCAGCCCTGGCCAGTGTGGCTCAGGTGGTTGGTGTGGGTGTCAGGTTTGATTTCGTGCAGGAGGGAACCCTTTTTCTGATTCCATGAGGAAATAAAAGCTTTATGAGGCTCTAAGCTGAGGCTGGCACGGGCTAAATTATGAAATGAATTGGGGGAAAGGTGCATTATAGAAATCTTAACTCATGTTTTACATGAGATCTTTGGGGCGTAAAGTAAGGAATGATAGAGAAAGCTCTGGAGTCCGTGCTAACTGGCTCCCCGTTGACTGCTGCACAGCCTCAGTTTACCCACCCGTGAAAATGGGATAACACTTCTCTGACTCCATTATGAGGCTGCACTGAGATACTGGGTATAACAGGCTAGTGCATGCATACACAATGAATACAGCCATTCTTTAGACACTCCAGAGCAGCGGTTCTCAACCTTTGGCGGTCGAACGACCCTTTCGCAGGGGTCGCCTGAGACCATCCTGCATATCAGATATTGACATGACGATTCATCACAGTAGCAACATGACAGTTATGAAGTAGCCACGAAAATAATGTTATGGTTGGGTCACCACATGAGGAACTGCATTTAAAGGGCCAGAAGGTTGAGAACCGCTGCTCCAGAGGATTCCATTTTCAAAGAGAATTCCGGACAATTGGAGGAATAACACGTCCCGACTATGATTAACTTGGTAAAAGGAAGTCTTAGTCGCCTGCTATGCTTTTAAATATAAGTGGCCTACTTCTGTAGAACCGGCGTTGGGAAGGGAAGATGTCAGCCCACATTCTGTTCCACGCCACCTTGCGAGCTGGTGCAGGTCAGGCCTGGGTTTCAGCTGCAGATGGGTGTTTATCTGCCGCCCGTCGGCCGCATTCTGTTGTCTGCCATGTAAATGGCCTCTATCGGCAAAGCCAGGGCGTAGCTTCCTCTCGCCGTTTCCTCCTTCTCAGGCTCGTTTCCTCTCGGAGCCAGCCCTGCACGTCAGGGGCTATTCTCCCTGCAGGAAGGGTCGGCTTGCAGCCCCGCGATTGTTTCTGTTTCTATGGCGCCTCTGGCCGGGGGCAGCCAGGTGTTGGAAGGGACTGGAAGGTTACTCCCCTGGAGCGGGCGGAGGGGCCCTGTGCTCAAGCCCTCTTTTTCCCCTAATTAAACATTGTTTGAGAAGATGGTCCTACTTTGCAGATTTTGCCCAATCCCAGGACCATCTCGGGAAGGAACATTCCCGGGTTGTCTGCTTGCCAGTGTTTTTCCCAGAGCTCTGAAGTAGAAGTGCAAGGACCACATCTCACAAGTGAAGACGCAGACATGTGTGATAACAGCTCGGCGTTCCAATCGCTGTGCGTCGCTTTCACACAAATGTATTGACATTTTCTTAGGAGTATGACGTCTGTCTTAAGGTTGGAATCAACTCTTTTTCCATTTATCTCAACTGAGACAGAATTGAGGCATGAGCCTTGGGAAAGGTTACCCCAGCTGGTGCCAGACTAAACTGAGGGCAAACAGGTTTACATCAGAAACTTTAAAATTCTAAATCCATCCTAGGAATTCCTTTGTGTTTTCTCTTTTCTTTAAAAAAACAAAACAAAAACTTCAGCCTTATCTTAATTGAACCGAGAGCAGAGTGTGTTTTTGTTTCTTATTTTCCATAACTCCATCTAGAATAAGCAACGAAGAAAAAAAAGCTGTGGGATTAAAAGTCAAGAGGCTTGGACTGGAGATGCAGGAGACCTCAGACAACCCCAGGCCCCTTTCCTGGCCTGGGGGTGGGGACAGTCCAGCCTCCTGTTCTGGTGTGGAGGCTTTCGATACAGGAGAACCCTGCTCTTTGGGGCTAGCCATGGCAAGAGCGCTGGAGAGCAGGAAAACAGAGGGACCAGGGGGACCAGGAGGTGTGGGAGTGCTGCTCAGGCTTCGCCTCTCGTTAGAATCACCTGGGGGGGCTTTTGCACCTCTAACTCCCAGGTCAGGCCCCAGACCGATTGAGTCAGGTCCTCTGCTGATGGGACCCAGGCCTCAGTGGGTGTGAAAACTCCCAGGTGATTCCAGTGAACTGCAGGCAGGGACCCCTAGCCAGCAGAATTATAACCTCACCCTATTAATAAATGTTGTCCTTTCTAATTTAGAGTCCTGATTTGAATAACTTTTCCCTTGAACGTTTCATCTGTTGGCCTTTCCTTGTTAAAGAAGTCGTTCCTGGTGCCTGGCTGGCGTGGCTCGGTGGTTGAGCATTGACCTATGAACCAGAAGGTCTGAGTTCGATTCCCGGTCAGGGCACATGACCAAGTTGCAGGCTTGACCCGCCCCCCCCCCCCCAGTGGGGTTGTGCAGGAGGCAACCAATGGATGATTCTCATCACTGATGTTTCTATCTCTCTCTCTCCCTTCCTCTCTGAAATCAATTAAAAAAAAGAAGTCTTTCCGCGCTAGTAGAGTCAATTCTGCATCGCCATAGAGTGTCACCGTGCCCATTCTCCTTTCCTCCTATGGCCTTGCAGTCTTGTGGTCCTCTTCCTCCTCACATGACCACTCCTCCTCAGTCGTCTTTGCTGGCACCTCGTCTTCCATTCACCCTTCACTGAAGAAGGCCCAGATCCTTCTGAGGATCCTCTTTTCAACCCACCTCCTTTCCTCGGTGATTGCTTCCATTCTCCCAGGACTAACAACCATCCATTTGCAAGTAACTCCTTGACGCATACCTCTGACCTCTGTCTCTCTGCTGAACTCCAGGTCCGTATTGTCACCTTATTGGAGATTCTAGAGCTCCTTCCTCTCTGTCTCTCCTCCCATCCATCCCATTATTATTTAGCACAACTGGGTGTCCTGCAAAAATCAACAGGACGGTGGTGGTCCCCGCCCTGGCAATCGCCACCAAATTGGAAATACAGACACAAGAACAAATCCATCCATACAGTGGGAGAAATGCAAGGTGAGAGTGGATTGGCCAAGTGACGGCACCTGGGAGAGGTGGGGAATTGGAGGGGGAGATGCGAGGTTAGATTTCAAAGGATGGAAGATCACCCTGGACACTAGTGGGCATAAGGCAGTGTGGTGCTCATGGAATTTCACAAGTTCCATTTGGTTGGAACAAAGAATCGGGTGGCAGAGGGATGGGGCAGGGTGGTGTTGAGAGAAGAAACTGGAGAGGGAGACCGTGACCTGGTCCCAGCAGGCCTCCCATGCCGTGCTGAGCAGTTTGTACCTTAGAAGTAGACCGGTGCGAGCTAAGGGGGTGTTGAGTGATGAGATGAGATGTTTGTGTTTAGGAAGGTCCTCCTGGACCATGACCAAGTGGACAGATGGAAAGCTTCCTTGATGGGCATTTAGAAGAACCACCTACTGCTTCTGTTGGCCTGCAGCCCCAGCTCTGGTTGTCCAGACCTTAGACATGAACTCTACCTGCCAAGGCCTCTGGGCTCCGCGCTGGTCCGTCACCAGATACTGCTGATTCTTCCCCTCGGTGGCTGGCTGGTTGGCTGACTGGTTAGCTGGCGGTTGATGGATTTGCATCAGGTTTTTTGCATCCATTTCTTACCTGATCACTCCTTCCCATTCTTCTTTGTTGAAGTCCAGACCATACCATTCTGGCTTATTCCATCCTATACACTGTGTTGGCGTTATCTCCCAACAAAACAGAAATGTAACTGTTATTACTTGTTTTTAAAAAAAATGTGTAACCATTTTTCATTGCATCCTGGCCTTTCTACACTTTGGTGCCCAGGCCTGCTTACTCTTCTGGCTGCTTCTCCCACTACCTCTCTCCTCTCCTGGCCTCTGTCCTTTGAACTTATCTCTCAACTCCCCTTTCTGGGAACAAGCCCTTTATGGTTCCCACCGCCATATCTTCACTCATGCAGCTTCCTCCACTGGAAATGACCCTCTCTATCAAAGTCAACTCATCTTCCATTTCTCTTCTACTTGGAGTCCATCCAAACGCCGTGGTGAAGAGTGTGGCTCCTGGAGCCCAGCTTCCTGTTTTGGAATCCAGGCTCTGCCACTTAAAATGGCTTGGGCAATTTCCTTAAGCTCTCGGCGCTTCGGTTTTCTCTTCTGTGGTAGTGGGGGGCTGCCAGTCCCCATCTCACAGGGCGGCTAGGAAAATGATAACGGGATTGGAATAGTGCTGAATGCATAGCACATATCGATAAATGTTAGCTGTTTTATTGTTTTTTCCCGTGACACCTCTTTTATTTATCCTGCAATTGTTAGCCTGTTAACGTGTCATTTGTGAATGTGTCTGGCTTCCCCCGTTATAACTGAAACCACCTACAAGTCAAGAAGACTATGTCTAATGCCCAATGCTTTGAAAATAGTAAACACTCTGCTGATTTTTATTAAAATGACCTCCTGACAACAAGTAAAAACTCTGCAGGTAAATTGTATTGGGAGCCAACATGGGTCAGGAACATGTGAACAGGTTGTCCCGAGGCCACGTCTGTTCTCCCAGACTGCAGGTGGCCCCCAGCGCACACCTGTCTTCAGACATGACCCCTGATCTGGCGACTTGGTCCCATGATCTGGTCGGCTCCTGGCGGGAGGTTGTAGGCTCCTCCCTGCAGCCCGTAGGAGCAGTGCCGGTGGCCTCTGCCCCCTCGACCACACCCACACCGACTGCCCAGCCAGAGGGGGAAAGGCAGCTCGGTTAATTTCCAGGCTTCCACGGCACTCCTCTCTCAAGGTGTTCTGTGCGCTGCGTGTTTTTCAGAAATCAGACGCCGAGGATCCAAAGATCCCCTGGTGAAGGCCCTGCAGCTGCTGGACAGCCCCGGGGAGCCGGGGGAGCCAGGCGCGAAGCCGGAGGCGCTGGCCCGGAGACGGAGCTCCAAGGACCTGCTGGGGAAGCCGCCGCAGCTGTACGACACGCCCTACGAGCCGGCCGACGGGGGCCCCGAGCGGAAGGCGCGGCCCCCCGACGCCCACGGCCGGCTGCCGCAGGACGACGAGAGGCCCGCGGCTGAGTACGAGCAGCCCTGGGAGTGGAAGAAGGAGCAGATCGTGCGGGCGCTGTCAGGTGAGGGCGCTGTCAGGTGGGGCGCTGTCAGGTGGGGGCGCTGTCAGGCGGGGGCGCTGTCAGGTCAGGGTGCTGTCAGGCAGGGCGCTGTCAGGTCCTGGCGCTGTCAGGTCCTGGCGCTGTCAGGTAGGGGGAGCCGTCAGGTCGGGGAGCCTGTCAGGTGAGGGCGCTGTCAGGTCAGGGTGCTGTCAGGCGGGGGCGCTGTCAGGTCCTGGCGCTGTCAGGTGGGGGGCGCGTTCCTGCGCTCTTTGCTGCCCCGCTGGGAAAGCTGCGCCCCGTGGGCAAATGCCACGTTTTTTACTTAATTCCAAGTCTCTTTTTAAAAAAATACATATTTTATTGATTTTTTAGAGAGGAAGGGAGAGGGATAGAGAGTTAGAAACATCGATGAGAGAGAAACTCGATCAGCTGTCTCCTGCACACTCCCTACTGGGGCTGTGCCCGCAACCAAGGTACATGCCCTTGACCGGAATCGAACCTGGGACCCTTCAGTCCGCAGGCCGAGGCTCTATCCACCGAGCCAAACCGGCTAGGGCACAAGTCTCTTTCCGAGGAATCTGGTAGGGAAAGAAGAATCGGGCCTGGTGGGAAGACCAGGACTGAAGACGAGCCCTTCCTATTGCAGTTCTCTTTCACCCTTCTGGGCATTTTATTTTCCTCTCTCTCCCCAGTTGCACAACTCCTGGAAAAGCCCTACGTGACTATTGGGAAACCTCATCTGATCCCCACTGAAGCGTTCTCCTTGGGAACAGCTTTTCTCACTCTCCTTGGTGCTCCTCCTCACACCAGTTAGAGCCCCTGTTTATAAATTGCCAGTACTGGGGCAGGTGAATTACAGGTAGCGGAGGTTGGAAAACAGGGTGAAGCTCGCTTTTTTATTCTCTCCTCTTGTCAGAATTCCACCTACAGGAATCAGTTCTTTAAATAAGAATTTTTTAAATAACTTACAAGGAAGGTGATAGGTTGTCAGTAGTTATTAAAGGTAATTCACCCTCCTGCTTCTCTCGGGACACAGTTTTTCTACTTGGCTGACCACATAATTTCTTTTGCCTTTGATTTGTAAAGTTAGGGATGTCTTTTCCCTCCAACAGCTAAGCCAAGTTTGCGATTAAAAGTGTAGTTAATGGCCCTGGCCAGCGTGACTCAGTGGATAGAGCGTCGGCCTACGGACTGAAGGGTCCCAGGTTCGATTCCGGTCAAGGGCAATGCCCAGGTTGTGGGCTTGATCCCACTGTGGGGCTTGCAGGAGGCAGCCAATCAATGATTCTCTCTCATCATTGATATTTCTATCTCTCTCTCCCTCTCCCTTCCTCTCTGAAATCAATAAAAACATATTTTTTTAAAAGTGCAGTTAATGGCCCTGGCCAGCGTGGCTCAGTGATTAGAGTGTCAATGGAATCTCAGGTTCAGTTCCGGTCAAGGGCTCATACCTGGGTTGCAGGTCAATCCCCCGCCCCGGTTAGGGCCTGTGCAGGAGGCAGCCATTCACTGTATCTCTCTCTCCCTCCCCTCCTTCCCCCACTCCCCAAAAATCAAGGGGAAAAATATCCTGGCATGAGAATTAAAAAGGAAAGTGTAGTTAATGTAAAGAGTGAACACGGACGGTAATACATTTGATAGCAAACCTTCAAGTCCGTTTGAATTTTCCTTTCGTCTTGTCGTTCACACATCTCTACTGGGCACCTGCGACTGTGCTGCTCATTTTCTCTCATTATCCTCTAGCCGGGCTACCTGTCACGGCCTCTGTGAGGCACCATTCAGTAGTTACTCTGTTCCGCAATTGATTTTTCTTTAGGCTTGATTATTTCGTGGTAAAAGCTGCTCAGTTGATTCCGCAGAGTGACACAGGCCCTCACAAGGAGTCCTCCCCTGGACCTATGTGTATATGTGTAGTCTTTTAATCTGAATATACGACAGCGGAAGGGTTTTTTCTAACATTCCATGCTGAACTATATTCAAGTGGTTTTCTTTCCGGTTCTAAAACTGCTCCACGCTGATGAGTATCTTGCGGAGAAGTAGCTGCCTGCGTGCGGATGCTCCAGTGTGATCAGATACCCCAGGGCGTTCGCTCGCATCAGGGGGAGGGAGAACGACCAGGAGGGCTCGTTCTTTGAGGTCCACACTGGGTTCACCTCCGTGGCCTCTGATGCTAAATGGAGCCGTCCTTCCAGTTCAGTTTGAAGGCTCTGAGAGACCTTCCGCCAAGGAGGAGCCCGGGAGGCAGCACCACCGGCAGAAGAGCTGGACCCAGAAGATCTTGAAGCCGGCGCTGTCCGACCACGGCGAGGGGGAGCGCGTGGACCCGGCCCTGCCGCTGGAGAAGCAGCCGTGAGTCTCCTGCCCAGCCGCGTCACCGGCAGTAGCCGGTAGCTCATTCATAGCCCGGGGGTGGAGGGAACACACTGGCCCATTTTACATGGTTATTATGGCTCCTGAGGACCTGTCTGGGGGGGGCTCATTAATGAAAACCCACTTTCAAAGCCCAGGGCACTGGTACCGAATGGAAAGTTACTGCATCCCGGGAGCCTGATTTTAAGTTTCCTTCTCCTGGATGGATGACGACACTGCCCTGGTAGCTCCCTCTCGTGTGATTGGTGGGTTTTGTGACCCAGGGTTACCCAGAGCTGCATCGTGTCTGTTCTCAGTGTGACGCGGGATCTAGTTCAGGCTGTGGCGCTCCTGCCAGAAGTGCATTTCAAACAACGCTTTACGGAGCGAGGCCCTGCCTGGCTTTCTGTTTTGACGCCCGTGGTGTCTCCCCCCACCCTCACCCTGTTTTTCAGTTGGTATCATGGTGCCATCACCCGTGCTGAGGCTGAGAGTCGACTCCAACCCTGCAAAGAAGCTGGTTACCTGGTTCGAAATAGTGAGTCAGGGACCAGTAGGTACTCCATTGCACTAAAGTAAGTGTGGCAGCCTCATGGGCTCTCCCATTTGGATGGGCCGGGGGGTGGGGGGGTGGGGGGTGGGTGCGGGCGCGAGGGTTGACTGTCTTTCCTATCATGGGTAGATGACCAGACAAAAAAAAGATATCATTTCAAGGTAGTCCCACAGGGGCATATATTGCCACATAGTAAAATGCGTTTGCTTGGACGACAGACTATGAAATGCTCTAATTAGAATGCATCAATATCTCTTATGATAATGAGGGTCCTATGTCGTTGTCATTGTCCATTATTCAGTGTGTACCTTACATCACCCAACCTAAAGTAGGTCCTCTCACCAGAGAAATAACTCCTGATAAAAAGAATACTATCTGACAGGATAATTCAGTCATTTTTCTTTCGTTCCCTAGTGCTTTGGGACTTTAATAAATCAGATCCCTTGATTGTTCAAATGCCAAGTGCCGTTTTGATACCAGCTTCTTCTAGCGGAGAAGGAAACGCTGACTCGCTATTCCTCCCCTGGCTGACTCTACACAGAACGTTCATTTTTGCCTGGTAGGCCCGGTGGAGCTGGAATCATGGAAATTCTCATTGCTCCGCGAGTTCAGTGGTGCTATATTGGAGGATCATTGTCAAGCACCGAACAGCATTTCCTTCCTGCGGAAGCTGAGCCCCTGCAGCTGAAACAATCAGGCTGGAGGGGGAAAGAGGCTGGGGCGGGAGGGTGTTGGAGCAATATGGCTCAGAAAACGGGATAGGCCACCAGATATACAATACCAGGAATAGCTTTGCTGTTCCTGAAACTGGTGCTCGCGGATTAGATCTTTGAGCCTTCAGTGCCAGCTGTCATTAGATACAGCCAGGAGCAGTCTTTCCAGATTGAGATGGAGGTGGGGGTGGGGGGAGGAAACAGTTTGATTATTATTGTTGTTGTTGTTGTTGATGATGATGTATTCTTTGGGGAGGAAAGAAGGAGGAAACCTTATACATGTCCTTTTAGCCATGATGAAGAATATGAGTTTAAACTTCACCTTAGTGGTCTCATACTTGGGCTTAAGCACAGTAGTTTGGCAATTTGAGGATCAGGAGGGACTGGACTTTTGTTTGTTTGTTTGTTTGTTTTTGTCTGGTGCCTGGTGACTTGTGTGCACTAAGGATAAACAACTCAAGGACACACGTTTTTTTGAGGGCTGTGTTTGTTTATAACAATTCCGGGCATGGATGAGAGCCTGTCCACCTGTGAATCTGACCGGGGTTATTTTCAGTGAGGAGGGGTCCCCTTGCTCGCTCATTCATGTCTCCTCCTTGATTTGTTTTGTTCCAGGACTAGTCAAGGATGTGTCCACATCATAGTGGCTCAGACCAAAGACAACAAGTACACACTGAACCAGACCAGCGCCGTCTTCGACAGCATCCCTGAAGTGGTACACTATTATTCCAATGAGAAGTTGCCTTTCAAGGGGGCAGAACACATGACCTTACTCTACCCCGTGCACAACAAGCTGCACTAAGGTTCAGCCGCCACAAGCCCTGGCCGGGCCTCTCACACCTGAGAGGGCCTCAGCACCCACCCAGCACCTCAGGGGACAAGGCTGGACTGCGCCACAATAATTGGTAGGAGGTGGGGGTCTCCATTGAGAAGTCAAAACGTCTTTGGGCTTGAATCCATTTCATGACACTTGGTCACTGACCTGTCCCCTTTCTCCCTGCTAAGTAGTCCTACAACAAGATATGGCTCATGCCAGGTGCCTCCACTCTCTAGAGTAGGGTGTTCTATTTGGGTATGACCCTCAGCAAAGGTAAGTCAGGAGTCCAGGAATATTCAAGTTCTCCAGAAATTGTGCTAATTTTTACCTGGGTTACCTGGTCTCCAAACAAACCAATAAAAGTGCACTTAGCTTTTACATAAAAATGATCAGGCGGAACAGGAGAGAAAATGCTATCAGACCCCCTTTGGACAAAAGGCTGAACAGAAAGAATAAGTGAATAGTGGACCTTAGAGAAAGCTGTCTTTCTCACGTGTCCTAGTTCAGCTTTGGAGTCCGTGAAACTTCCCAACTTCAGGGTCTGGCAAAGGATTATTTTGTTGGTCAGCCTGCTAAGAAAGTTTGTGCTTTCTTGATCTCTGAACTTTTTCGTCATTTCAACAAGTCATTAACATAAGCATAAATAGGAAGGACAATTTAAAAAATCAGTACAGGCTTCTGGTCAAGGTGGCATCATAGATAAGTGCAGTACTTGCACCCTCCCACAACCACATCAAAATTACAACTAAACTACAGAACAACCATCACTCAGAACCTCCTGAAATCTAGATGAACGGAAGTTTTACAACCAAGAATGTATAGAAGATGCCACATCGAGACTAGTAGGAGAAGCAGACACTGAATGGGCTGGTCTCACCCACATGTGGATAAAAGTTGGGAGGGATACTTCATTGTGGAGGTCCGCACTATGGAGTGAGAGGTCTTGCCCCACACCAAGTCCCCTAGCCCAAGGCTTCAGTGCCAGGAAGGGAAGTCCCCATAATTTCTGGTTGTAAAAACCAGCTGGGATTGCAACTGAGTGAGATGGAGGGCTTCTGGAGTCCCAGGCAGTTCCTGTTAAAGGACCTGTGCATGGACTTACCCGGACTAGTCCCTCTGACTAGGGCAGCAGCTCAAAAGGCACCAGGGACATAACGGGGAGGAACTGAATTGTCTGATATCAGGGTGAGGTCTGGAGGGGTGACTTTCTACCAGATAGAAGTGTTGGCAGAGGCCATCATTCCTTTGCTGAGTCTATCCACCTTACAGAGCCAGCAGGCGGTGCCATATCTGAATCTCCATCAGCCTTGTTATCACTGTTTGCCCCACCTTGGTGATTCCCTGAGACCCACCTCATCCAACTTTGAGACCCACCCACGCTTTTCTATACAAATGGCCTGTCTTGGCTCATGCTTCAGATTTTCCTAAAATCTCTCAAATAAGCAGCATTTACTTACATCTCACTAAGTATCCCCAGGCCAAGCACTAGTGGCAGTTGGTCTTGGTTCATAGCTTGGCCTCACCTGGGCCCTCCAAGCCCAGCACAAGTAACAGTCATCTGCAGATCAACGTGTAGCTCATACCCATGCCAGGAGGCCCCAGGCAGAACACAGGTGGTAGCTGACCTTGGCCTGTACCTCCTGGAAGGCTCCAGAGCCATCGCACCTGGTGGACAGCTTCACACCAGGTCGAAACACCACCCAACCACCTCCATAAGCAACACACTCAAGGGTTGGGCTCAGTGGGCACCAGATCCCTGCTGAAGTAAGTCCTGCTCTATGGTGTAAGCCCCTACCTCTGATCCCCCACCGTGGTCACAGCCAGTTCTTGCAGCTGATTGGCCTGAGGATAAATTCCTCCCCTTGCTGTACCAACAGGAATCAAGGCTCAATTGCAATAGGAGGGTGTACACAGTCCACAGTGGGGGGGGGGGAGGGCACCACTGGGCCCTACAGGACACCTACTCCACAAGGCCACTCTACCAAGCCCAGGAGACGTAGCAGCTCCATCTAATACATAGAAACAAACACAAGGAGGCTGCTGAAATGAGACCAAAAAACGTCCCAAATCAACGGAACAGAACAAAACTCCAGAAAAACACTAAACAAAATGGAGACAAGCAATCTGCTAGATGCAGAGTTCAAAACACTAGTTCTAAGGGTGCTCAGTGAACTCACTGAGATCTGCAACAGCATAAAAAAGGGCGTGGAAACCGTGAAAAAGAACCAGTCACACATGAAGGATCCACCAACTGAAATGACGACTGCTTTACAGGGAATCAAGAGTAGAGTAGGTGAAGCCAAGAATCAAATCAACAATTTGGACTATAAGGAAGCAAAAAAAGAAAAAAAAAACAGCAACAAGAAAAAAGAATCCAAAATAATGAGGATAGTGCAAAGAGCCTCTGGGACAACTTCAAGTGTATCAACATTTGCATTGGGGGGTGCCAAAGGGAAGAGAGAGAGAGCAAGAAATTAAAAACCTATTTGAGAAAATAATGACAAAACTTGCCTAACTTGGTGAAGAAAATAGAAATACAAATCCGGGAAGTGCAGAGAGTCCCAAGCAGGATGAATCTAAAGAAACCCACCCCAAACACATAATTAAAATGCAAAAGGTTAAAGATAGAGACTTAAAAGCAAGAAAAAAGCAGTTAACTACAAGGGAGCTTCCATAAGACCGTCAGCTGATTTTTCAACATAAACTTTGCAGGCCAGAAGGGAGTGGCAAGAAATACCAAGCAAAGCTATCATTTAGAATCTTGTCTTGGCTTCCCAGACAAGAAAAAGCGAAAGGAGTTCATCACCACCAAACTAGTATTACATGAAATGTTGTTAAAGGATCTTGAGAAGGAAAAAAAAAGATTAAACATATGAACAATAAAATGGCAATAATATATATATCTGTCAATAATTGAATCTAAAAATCAAAATGAACCAGCAGAATAGAAACAGACTCATAGATAAAGAGAACATTTTGATGGTTGCCCAATGGGAGGGGGTTGAGGAGAATGGTTGAAAAAGGTAAAAGCTTTAAGAAATACAAATTGGTAGTTACATAATGATCATAGGATTGTAAAGTACAGCATAGGGAATAAAGTCAATGTTCTAATAACTATGTATGATGTCAGATGGGTACGAGATTTATTAGGAAATTATATAATGTCTAATCATTGGGGTGTACACCTGAAACTAATATAATATTGTATGTCAACTATAATTGAAAAATTTTAAATGACTTAAAAAATAAAAATTTTAAAAAGAATCACCAATATAATTAAGGATTGGCATCATTATTCTGAATTTTAGAACAAAATATACAACAAAGGTTTAATTTCTAATTCGTAAAAAATCTGAAAAGTTAGAAGGCTCAACAACTGTTTTCTTACTGGATAATTATACAGAACTTCTGGTACCTTTGGTTTGATCTTTATACATTGTGGTTGTTATGAAACTATTAATTTTTCTCCCTAAAATGAGGTTTGCTTTGTATCGTTAGAGAAAATTTTAAAAAATATGTATAACTCTAGGATCTGATTGTATGAACTGGGTCTCTAATGCTGTACAAAACAGACCAGTTCACACTGTATAGATATTTGAAAAGCCTGGGGTTTTCTCTGGACTGTTTAACACTCACAGCATCGTTATCTTTATGAATTATTGTGAACTTTTATCACCAATTACTTACTGTGAAAACAAAACGCGGCACTGGCATAGCATACGATGGGAAGGTGACTACCGTGACTGGCTCTGGAATTACCACTGAGCAGAGGTTTCTGTGTTCTGGGTCTGTAATTGGGTTCTCACAACTGGTCCAGTTGCAAATGTGTTGTCTGTCGCTAACGAAAAGTTAACTTTTGTCGTTTCTTTGAAATACAAAAACAAATACCGATTCCATTCATTTTGGGGAAAGCCTAGCTTGCTAGTTATTAGTCATCATTTTACAATGATGATTTAGAGGTTAGTAAACATTTGTTTCCTTATTCAGTTAAGATTGTAGCCCAAGGATTGTATGAGCTTTGATTTTAAAGGTCTGAGAGGAAATGTTTCTCACTGGATCCCAATGATTTTATTAATAAAGAGTGTTCTGTTTTATACGTACTGATAGAATTTTTTAAATGTGTATTGGTTCATGTACTCTATCTTTAGTAAAAGTTTTTTTTTTTTCATTTTTATCATCCATAGTTTCATTCAGCAAATATTTATTGTCTTGCATATATAAATAATTCATTATGTTAAACTTATTTTTAGTTCAATATCCTGGAAATGAAACCTTATTTTTTACTTAAACTTATTCTACAAAGCAAACACAGCAGTTATCCTAATTTTAATAAATACTAAAACCTTTGCAAAATTTTCTTTGTGTCCTAAATGATTTTTGGCCCATACCCAGCAACTGTGGTGAACATATAATGAAATAACATTTTGAAAGCAGACCTGATATATTAAGTATTGATTGAGCTTCTAGCAAATGCTCAGGATTGTGGCTTTTTCTATACTCATTTTCTGTGACAGTCATACTACTTTCTTTATATAATTGAAAGTGGAGATGTGGAGTTTCTTTATAGACCAGTTCCTTCACAGTTGTACAGGAGGTTATAAGAAGAAGAAATATAGTAAATTAGTAGCAGGGGAGGGGGTTAAGCTACTGTTTTCTTCAGGTTGTGACACAAGTTGACAAAGCCAGGGAGTTCACAGCTGAGCAGTGGCACGAAGTACCATTCGTTCTAAAAACAATTAGGCCCAGCGGGGTGTCCCTAATGGCTTCCGGGTGGAGCCTCCGGGACCAGCGGATCCTCCGACGCGCTCTGCCTCGCTTCCTCTCTGAGCTCTGAATGCCTGGGCTGCTTGTCATCTTGTCTGGATACAGGTGTTTTCCTGTAGTCGTCATTCTTTTGAGTTAATTCTGTCCCCCAGACAGATTCTTTCTGCAGAGAGTAATGTCTTGGTGTGTTCTGGGTTTTTTTCTGGAGAGAATCATGTCTTCAAACAAGTTTGTGCTCACTTGGCTTGAATTTTGCATCCGTTAGAGCTTCCTGCATCTGCGTCCTTTCTCCTTCATCACACCTCCTTTTAAAAAAGTTCTCTGCCCCAGGTTAATAGTCTATTTCATTAGTTTGTTTCAGGCCTATGAAGAACAGGGTAAGAGGACTTCTCTTTTTATGTTGCTACTGGTTCCATCAGGTTGGATTCCAACCTTCGGAGTTGTGTGTAGTCCAATGAGTAGGCATGAAATAACAGAGAAAAGTTAACACGTGTACAAAATGGTACATACTGACATCCTAATCTCTACTGGGGACAGATATGTCCTTTGAAGTTATCCACAGGGCTTTCTTAAGAAGCATTTATATTTTAAAAATAAAGTCTTTTAATTTTTTTTGCTGTTTCAAGTCTCCATGCTTTGCTGAGTTGTTATTCGTGTATTGGCCTCTGCCACAGAACGGGGAGATGGGCAGATGATTCGAGACAGCCAGAAGTGTTTGGCACAGGTGGCAAACGAGTCCTAACCCGTTGCCTTTTAAATGAGGGCAGCCTTTCTCTTCTATGAAGATGCCCTTTGTCTAGTCAACGGTTAATGCCCCCCTTCTCCTTCTGCCTGGAGAGGGGACTGAGATGTCTAGATTTCATTTCCCTTCTCCGCATCCTTTTAGTAGGTAGCAGAATTTTTGTGACACCTTTCTCACAGGTGTCTTTCGCTCACCCATTGCCTCTCTTGTTTTCCATAACCAGCCCTGTTTTGGACTTATGATCTCTTTAGAATCACTCTTCTTTTTTCTCCTCTCTCATTTTTACAACCCCATTGACTTGGATTGGGAGAAACTCGGCCTGCAGTGGACCTTAACTTAGCCTCCTTAATTTCGGAGCCTGTAGAGAGCAAGCCGTGGAGTGTTACTGCCACCTAATGGACGGAGAGCAAACTGCAGGGGGAAAACAAGCAGCAGGTTTGCGGTGTTTTTCTAAAGGATTTCTGACACCGTTCACAGCGTGAAAAATGATGACACAGCAGCTGCCATCTTGAAATCGGTCTTTTCCTGTGGAACGGGTGACTACAGCCTAATGCAACTCCCATCACCAGGCCCCCGGACTTACGGCTGGATCATGTCGTTTAGAATCTTAAATTGTATTTTAATGAATAGCCTAGCAACTGATCATGACTGACCGCCATCTCCTGTTGCCAAGCTCTGAACCATTCCGTTATTTGTCAGTGGGCTTTACCATTTTAAAAATATATTTTATTGATTTTTTTTACACAGAGGAAGGGAGAGGGAGAGAGAGTTAGAAACATCAATGAGAGAGAAACATAGATCAGCTGCCTCCTGCACACCTCCTACTGGGGATGTGCCCGCAACCCAGGTACATGCCCTTGACCGGAATCGAACCTGGGACCTTTCAGTCCGCAGGCCGACGCTCTATCCACTGAGCCAGACCGGTCAGGGCTGGGCTTTACCATTTTAAATATTAACTAATACATGGTTTTAACTTTCAAAAATATGTGACGATTGTAAGTAAAACAGGCTCCTATCTGTAGAACTTTAGTTATATAAATTAAATCAGAAACATTTTATAAAATTTCTGGATGTAGTGCAGTAGCCAGTGTAGGCTACATGCCCTCCTGAAGATGGTTTACGATGGAATGTAACTTTAAACAGCATTCCAAGCAAACCATGGTTTTGCTTAATTAGTTTTGAGAATCACCTTCCTTCATCTTAAAAAAAAAATTCCTGCCGAAACCGGTTTGGCTCAGTGGATAGAGCGTCGGCCTGTGGACTGAAAGGTCCCGGGTTCGATTCCGGTCAAGGGCATGTACCTGGGTTGCGGGTACATCCCCAGTAGGAGGTGTGCAGGAAGCGGCTGATCGATGCTTCTCTCCCATCGATGTTTCTAACTCTCTATCTCTCTCTCCCTTCCCCTCTGTAAAAAATCAATAAAATATGTTTTTTTTAAAAAATTCCTATGGTAACAGCTATAGCAGAGAGGGTCAAAAATTCCATTTGTAATCATTGCTAATGACATGTGTAAACAAACCATGATTGAACATAACCAGACCGGATCTTCATTTCTTTCTCAGCTCATCGGTAAAGCCTTCCTCTTCTGCTTTCATTACCCAGTTAAACAGAAACAGTGACGTTGCGCGCTGTCTCCTCGGCCATCTTCTTCCCACGTAGACAGCTGTTGCATTTGTCACCTTCCCTGATGAGGCATCTGAGCTGAGACGTTGTTGTTGTTGTTTGGTATTCATACAGATGCCCTCCGCCCATCATGGGATTTGACGCTGTGGTCTGTGGTGAAGCTTGAAACCTGTGTATTTCGTGGTTATCTGTTGTTGTCTTTTTAACTCCCACAAAC